ACTGAATGGATGATGCAAAGAAATATAATTGCTATTCATAGAAGAATAGTACCAAAAGATAATGAAGTGAATGAAGACAAATTATTACTTCTAGAAAGTGTCTGAGAGAAAATCAAGAATGTTTTAAGATTAGAGTGATCAAAGAAAAAAAGAATTTGATTTTCAATCTTATTACAAGCAACTATGGAAAGGACCATTATGGAAACAGATGAAGATGGTGTTTCATATATGAGAAATTATGAAAAAGATCATACACTCAAAACTACAATGGATTACATCTTGAATGAAAGTGATATTAATGATGAACTTATATCTAATTCTTATGACCAAATATGCCAAATGATTAGTAATTTTATTTACTTTTCATCAGGATATAAATTTAAGAAAGAAATATATATTGATGTTCAGATAGTGCAATATATTATCACTAGAGGAGGAAGCTATATAAAGACTCCTAAAAAGCTCACAAACACAAAGGGAACAATAAATCCTGATAACAGTGAGACCAAGGATAATAACTGTCTACAATGGGCTATATGTGCATTTAATGCAGATAGACTCTCAGAAGGTAAGTTAGCATATTTAGAAAGATTATCAGTTCTAAGACAATATAAAGATCTTGTTAACTTTGGTGATATTCTGGATGGAAAGCCAGTCCCAGTTAGCAAACACATATTTGAAAAACTTGAAGCATTAAACCCTGACTATTATTTCAATGTAAATGACTGGGATGATAAAGCAGGTATGCAACCTCTTGTAATTTCAAAAATTATACAAGAAAATATGAGGTTAATCTTCTAGTGCTAAATGAAGAATCTATAGATGGAAAAGAAAAAATGCATTATTTATGGATTAAAAATCCAAGTAAGCTTATATTTACCAATACAAACTATAAAGGTAAGAAGAATTTATGTACCTGCTATGGGCAATACTTCTCATTGGAAAAAGTACTTAGAAAGCATCAAAAGTATTGCCATGGTCCTACAGATGTGCCTCAATTTACAGAGCTTCCAGAAAAAGGTAAGAATGATAAATTACACTTCAGAAAATGGAAACATATGATGAGATACCCTTGTGTAATATATTTGGATTTTGAATCATATAACAAGAAATGTCCAGAGGGTGAAATATATAAAGGGCAGATAAAAAAATTAA